CACATCGATTAAGGGGTATATATTAAGGGTACAAAGTATATTTGCATGGTTACTTCACACCTTGTTTTGTGATCCTCAGCATCCCAGTCACAAAACATGAAGGGCACATTCGAGATTGAAACATGTCATTGAACAGTTCAATGAATCTCAAAATATCTAGGAGTTTCAAATCCAAGTAAAACCTAATTAAATTATTTTGTTTTTCATGGTGGAAATTGGTGAATCGTCATTCACCTACCTTCAAATATTTTATAGTTTGGATTACGGCATCCCTCTTCTAAGTTATAAAAGCATTGTGTTCAGTCTTAGCCTTAATATCTCATATTGGGTGTTATATTAAGGAATTTTAATCAACTATCTTGAATTTCTCCCAAAAGATGTCTAGTTCAGACATCTATGATCCTCCCAAATCTCTTGGAACTTCACTTCCTCCACATCCTCCAATTATTCTCCATATCCCACAAGTTCAAGGTCACTCAAGACCTATTGGCAAGGCAAGGTCTAGGTGTGATCACATCTTGGAGATGAAGTCACGTATTGACAAGTCGGGAGAGTTGGGTGTCAAAGTCTTGAGAAAGTTGGTGGTTCAATCACTTTCTAAGTCACATAGTGAGTTCCTTTGAGACTCCTATGAAACAGACTATGACAAGACCCTTAATGATCTTATCTATATGCTAAGATCAACTTCCTAAAACTTTATGGATATTGACAATGATGACACTTGAAATCCAGAAAAAACATTCTCCTCCCAATGGAAAGGGGTCAGCCATAGTCAACTCGGTTGACCAAATGGAAAAGAGAAAAGCTAAGTTTGTGATAGTACCGCGAACCATTACCAAAGGGTCCATATGTTTTATATTGCCAAGGGAAGGGGAATTAGTTGTGAAGCTGTCAATTTTACCTAAGGATGTTAAAGTCAATAAGTTTGACCCTACTTCAGGTAAAGTCCACTATCTAACTCTACTAAGTTTCTATTATGAGATTCTTGATACATGATGTGACTGGGTCACATGTTGATGTTTTTAAGAATCAAAGAAAAGTGAAGAAACTTAAAGAAATAATATGTTGAATCTGATCGCGTAGATGGATTTCTATCGCATAGTTTGAAGATCGGATTCTTGAGCTACTTCTTAGGAGTTATGATATATTGCTTGGGAATAGATAGCAACAAAAGTTTTCATGCTCTTTTGCATTGTAAGGATAGTTTTTCCGCAAAGTTTTTAAAATAAAAGGAAAAATGATGATTTATTTATTTTAAAATATCCTTACAATGACATTTGAGGAAAAAATTGTTGCTTATATGATTCAATAAATAGCAAGAGTGGAAATATGAAATTGATTCTTTCATTTGTGGTAATGTCTAAATTTACCAAATAAGGAAAGATCCTCATCACCCAAGTTTCAATTGGACCGAAACTTGGAATCATGCAAGTTGTATAGTATGATGAATTAGAACTTTCAAGCATTGGAAAATTAAAACTAATTACTTGTTCACATGGATGTGTGAGTATAGTAAAGGACTAAGGGATCGAGTACACATTCTTGTGCACTGATCAAGTCCACCAGAAATAATCGTTAAGACTATTCTTCATGATTTACTAAAGTTTAGTAAATATGGTTATACTTACAGGCTTAAGTGTAATTCTGATACGTTGGAAAAGTTCCAATGTATGGCAGAGCGAATAAGAATAATCAAATTAAGCAGAAGGATAAAAGTTTCTCAAATCTGAAAAGATGGGAGAGTACTTTAGTATCATGATATATGATCATCTTAAAGATTAAGAGACCTTATCACAATTCATCATCTAAGTGCATTCTGATAGCTAAGAAGAGGAGTTATCAATTGCTGAAGTGGTTAAATCAAGAAGATGATCCATACTTCTTTCCAAAAACAATTCTTAGAGTTATACTCCAAGATTGTAACTTGAGTGACACATCTTAAAGTAGGTTTATTAACACTAATCAAATGTAAGAGTAAAAGTTTTCTACTCTAGTACATTTGAAATTGGTAAGTTGTGATGTTTTGGACAAAACAAATACCAACTAAGGCCAATAGTGTGAAGTGTTTATCTTGATTAGAATCCGCACTATCTCTTGGATGGTTGACAAGGGAGTCACATGGAGTACTACACTTTTCTAACTTCTAACTTCTATTGACTTGATATGGTTTGTAAAGAATGGAAATTTCGGGTTGTCACATGGAGTACTACACTTTTCCTTTTAATGATGTTAGCCAAAACTCAACTGATTTCTTTGTGCAATTTTGACGCTAGCTTTATTAACACAATTGATTTTTATATTTTTATAAAATCATAACTCCTCTAATCAGAGTCAAGTTTTTATATCCTTGGGACCAATTTGTTGTGTATTTTTCAAATACACTGACCATTATTAAAAGTGGTGTAACTTTTTGGTCACTCATTTTTTACCCTTTTATTATTACCTAACTGATCATATTTTTCCTGAAATATGAGAAGCTTTATTATCATAATTTTTAAATACTAATCTCTAATGATGGTCGATGATGGAAATCTCTCGGTTGTCACATTCTCCCCCTGTTTTAGGAATTTCATCTCGAAATTCAGACCTTATGGTAATCTTATTATGGGAGACCAGTTTCTTAATTAGGTTTCGATCCATTTTCCTTTTTAACGAGACAACTAAATTTCCTTTTTAGTTTCCTACTTCTAATTCTTAAACTTTATCATTAGAATTCAACCTTTGTCTTTGAAATTCTATTTGATTTCATCCTTATTTTACAATAGGAAACCTAAATCTTTTATCTTAATATTGGTGTGGAATTCTGGAAGGGTTTTTATGATTATTTGTCTATTACTACCTGTACTTAAAAGTAGAACTTATTTATATTAATAATGAGTACAACTTCAGGGATTTCCAATTCCCTTGTTAAACGTTACATAATCATTCTTATCAAACTTTTCCTAAACCTTTTATTATAACATCTAGTATTCCTTTTTACTGGCCAGTTGACTCCTAGAAACGTGTACGATGTTCCTTGGTCTTCCACAATTGTTACATCTAAACTCTTCACATGTGCCCAGATGATGAAGTCCAGAATTACTACACAAGGGTATTCTTCCCAAGTATCCCCTTGGTGGAGTGGGTGATCTCTCACGAGGCTTGCTTTCCTCCCTTTCCTCCCACAAGGGTTGTCTAGATTTGCCCTTGGTGATTCCTACCCACTTGTTCTTAAGCTCTTTGAACTTCTTCTTACTCCTTCTTGAGTTCTAGATCATCGGTTCCTTGAGACTGAAGGCTAAATATTTAGCATCCTCATATGTATTGGGCTGGTGTAATTACACCTCGATCCTGATATGGGGAGCTAACTCTTGGAGATATGCATTGATCTTCTGGACCTTCGAGTTGACCAACTCACGACATATGGTGACTAGGTACTCAAAGTGTACCGTATAGAAGGACAAGCTTGATTCCCTTATGCTAAGATGACTAAATTCCTGCTTTGCTCGTGTCACGTCTCCTCCAGAATGAAATTCCTTTATCATCTGTTTCTTTAACTCTTCCCAGGGGGTTATATAGGCTTCATATATGCCTAAAGCCTTGACTTGGATACTTCTAGAATGAAATTCCTTTATCATCTGTTTCTCTATTTCTTTTATCCAGTTGATTAAATTATCTATCCCTCTGTCTCCATAAAAAGATTATGGCTTACTGATAAGAAAATCTTGACAGTTTTTTGTCATTTGACTACCTTCCTTATTACTTCCCTCATCCTTACTAGCTCTAAGATTCCCTAATGCATCAGAGACTTGATGCCGAATGATGGACTAAATGGTGGTTCGGTCAATCAAGGTTAGCATCGCAGGTATCTTGAAATGATAGCAAGAAGGTTACTTGTTGTTCCTAATGGAGTTAACACTATCTTTTTTCCATTTGTAGGTTGTTATAATTGTTTTCCTAGCAACATGTCTCCTTATCGCTTTTTAAAATAAAGTCTTTATTGGTATATTTTCTTTTATTGTTGTTTTATTACCTATTACAACATGTTATTGTTGGTTTCCTATCAACTTATATGGAAAATTCTTATTACTGTTACTTTCCGAGGAATGTGGTTTCTGTATTTACTGTTACTTTCCTAACAACTCTTATTATGAATGGAAATCTCTTATTATTTCAAGGAAATCTCTCTTCCTTGCCCTTGGTCTTCTAATTAGATTAAACGCCTAAAGGCTTTTAATGTCTAGGGTATCAAAAATAATTTGGGGATGAAAAGTGTCAAATATTAAAATTTTGGATATGCGCGTTTGGCACACAACGTACGCATCGCACACTTGCAACATATCAACATTAAAGTCGATTTTTGGCTTCATTTTGCAATTTTCCAACATTCCCCCCCCCCCTCTCTATTATGTCTCGACTGGGTCCCACACACACGATACACGCATTGCGTGCATGCTTCCAAGCTTTGGTTTCTTCATCTCATTCGATCCCTCTACTTCCATGTATTATCTCTACTTAATCCTAGCTTTAATTTTGGGCTTAATTTCGAGTTTTAGGGCTTTTTGAGTTTTTTTTATTAATTAATAGATTTTTGTTAAATTTCGTGAAATGGATGAGTAATTTAGTTATCTATACTACCAATTTTACTTCGTAGATACTTAATTTCGAGTTTAATTCATCCATTGATCCTCATTTTGAGTTTTTAGAATTTGAATTTTTTTTTCTAAACTTTTAACTAACTCCTTAAATTTGTGATGTTTTAGACGAAATGGACTAATTATTTGTGTTCTAGAAGCTTAGTCGAATATCCTTATATGGTTATTGTGTTGAAAATTAGACGAAACAACGGTTTCCAAACTTGTTGTTCTTCGTGTTCTCGGAGCATGCCGCGCAGATGCATGTGCGTCGTGTGCACTCACATGCAGCGCACACCTTTGCGGGTTTGCTCCATTTAACACCCCTTGTAGTATTTAACTAATCTAGCTCGATCCTAACTGTCTTTTGTCTATTTTTCTACAAATATGTCGAGACGAGGTCGACAAGTTGCGTATCAGCTACCTCCTAACTGTTCATCCCATATGTTCCTAGAATTCCTCGGTGATCTACCTAATCAGAGTTCTTTTGTCTTTTGCCTAATTGCTTTTCTGTCCAAGAAGATCGGTATTCCCCAGACTCTTTGCTGGAGAGTGGCAGACGAGTCTGGGTTAGCGACTCGTTTGGAGTTGTTCCTTACTCATATCTTGCGGGATGATAGCGGTCTTGAGATTTTTGTCTACCACGGATGGCGAAAAATTATTGGGGTTCGAGAGGTGGTCTACAAGGAGCTCTGTTGGGAGTTATTTTCGATAGTCCGCTTCGACAAGGAGTCGAGGATTCGGGTAGATAGATCATTCTTTACTTTTTGCATGGGAAACGTATCCCGCTTTTGCAACCAGATAGAGTTGGGGAGACATCTTTGGATTTTTACATCGAATGAGACTTTGTGTCCTAATTTTTATGCCTACCTTGACAACTGTATTATTGAGCCACCACAGGAGTACAACTACATGCAGGTATGGGGTCACGCTAGGGAGACTTATGTTTCTATGATGACCAAGTAAGGGAATCATGCATGTATGATTCTAACATGGGTTTCCCCTATTGTGGGTTTGGGGAGTAGGGTTTTCATTGTGGGACAGCTAGTTTTAAAGGTTGTCTAATGCAAAGTGGCAAAATATGAGAAAGCGCACATGAAAAATCAACACCCATTTATACCTTTGTGTTTGATACTTTCGGTATCCATGCGCCAAATAATTTGGAGCTACTCAATAGCGTTTAGCATGCCACACATAATAATATTATGACACAAAAATCTATAAATGTTGTTTCAAAAAGAATTAGTTTTTCATCCAAAAAGGTTAATGACGCAACTTGTTGATCGTTTATCTACTACGTCTATGTAAAACATTTATGAGGTAAGGGTTTAAAGTATATAATGTTGTTTTCAATATTTTAATTTATTTTGTAGTTAATTATTCAATCAAATATTTAATGAAGTTTTCTTTTTGAAATATAAATTTATAACAATTATATAATATTTTCAATATTTTTTATAACTATGAAACATTATTATTATTATTATTATTATTATTATTATTATTATTATTATTATTATATTTTACGTTTATAAAGTAAAGACTAATTAAATGGAGAAGATTTTATAGGACATTTTAAATTAGAATGATAGATTATTTAAAACTAAAGAAAAAACTATTAAAAAGGGTTAACTATTGAAGATGTTATTTAATTATAAATTAAAGTTAATAAAGCGATAAGATGATAATAATTTTAAGTGGGGTTGTAAACGAACCGAACATTCAATGAAACGTTCGCTTATTTTCGTTTATTTAATAAATGAACGAATATGGACACGAACACAAATTTTCGTTCGTTTAGTTAAAAGAACGAACATGAATCATGACATTGTTCTTTCATTTATGTTCGTTCGTTTAGATTTATTTATGTTTATATATGTTCGATTGTTTTTTATTACATTAATATATTATTTGTTAGTTTATGTTTATATATGTTCAATTGTGTATATTTATTTTTTCGTTTATGTCCGTTTAACATGTTCACAAACATAAACGAACGAACATTAATAATGTATTTGTTAAGCGAACGAAAATGAACTTAAAACATGTTCGTTTATCTGTTTGTATTTATTCGTTTGTTCATCTAACTTAAATAAACAAACATGAACAAATCATTGATCGTGTTCATTTATTTTGTTTATTACATTGAAAATGTTACTCATCTAGGAAAAGAAAACATTTAGGGGGTGTTTGGGATTGCGTTTGAAAAATGTTTATTTGCTTATTGACTTTTTGAAAAACTAATAAGTCAAAAAAAGTTTTTGGCAAAATCAAAAGCATTTTTCAAAATAACTTTTTCATAAGCTTCAATAAACACTTTTTAATAAACATATAACGTGACCTTTTGAAACCGTTTATGACTTTTCAACCAAAATAACTTCAAAAAACATTTTTTAAGCCAAACACTTTTTAACTTATTGATTGATTGGTTTTCCACTATAAAAACTTATCCAAACACTTTTTAAAAAACTCATTTCACCACTATAAGCAAATAAACACATTTATCTTAAAATATTTTTCTAGTTCAAAAATACTCCCAAACACCCTTAGACTTTAGGAGCCAATCAGCCAAGCGACAAAAATAACAAACAAATTGGGCTTTTAAGTAAACTGTTTAACCCGACAGATTGCAAACATGGATCCATTGGGCCGTCCATTAAGATTTAGGGTTCGCTAAATAGCCCCACCCCATCCCCTTTCTTTCATTATACCGTCGGCTAGGGTTTTATAACTGAAAAAGGAAAAACACCACAAACCTAAGCTATCCGATCACCATGAGAGCCAAGGTAAGTTCTCCTATTGTGAATTATCAACTGTTTTTTGTTTACATGTCTGTTAATTGAAATCTTTTTGATGAAATTGGTTGATTTGTAATTCTTCAGTGGAAGAAGAAGAGAATGAGGAGATTGAAGAGGAAGCGCCGAAAGATGAGGCAGAGATCTAAGTAATAACATGTTTGTTTGGAATAATAATCTGCCAAACTTTTTGAAGGAATCATCAGCATCGTGTCAGTTCTCGTTTCATATTTTTCTGTTCGAACATGTCGTAATCAGTACTCTTTAGTTTTGTTATGGTTTTTGGATTCTGTTATTTTAATGGTTGCGAGTTTAGTATAAATCCGTTAATTTCCCAATTCATGGTTCTGGATTTTGAAACCTAGCTAATTGTTTGAATTCAAATCTATTTTAAAACCTTCAATCAAGATCCGTCAAAGTGAAATTTATTTATGATACATTTAATCAAAATGGAATTTCAAAATTGGGTTGAAATTCACAAAATAAGAAGTGTTATTGTGACCAATCTGTTTGGTTTTCAATATTACAAAATGAATTATCAAATTTCTCTCATATCAATTCTTAGCATTAGGTAAGATTGGCTCTAGGAAGATGTTTAGTTCTGAGGATTTGATAAAAGCTTGATTCATTGGCTACTATTGTGTTCTTCATTGCTAGAAATGGAGTTTTCATTGCATCTCATAAAGACTTATTAATTTGTATTGAAAATAGATAAATTGTGAATGTGCTGTGTGCATGATCCAACTTCTCTTCTTTGTTACAGCATTACATTGAATATTTCTTAACCATATCTTGTGTTGCGATAATCCATGGATATTAGCATTATTTTTTTAATTATTAGAAACCATATTTTTGTAAGTTTCAAATAAAAACCATGCATCTTTAGAAACAAACATAATTTTATTATGAAAAACTTACTTTTTTCAGAAAACAACGAAGTTTATAACAATGGAAGAATGTTTAATTCACATTTAGTGGTAAATGGTTTGGTTATTGGCTGCTGACCTTAACCTACAAACCATTGTTTATTTGTGGTTTTCTGGTTTTTTTATTGGTAAATTCCACAAAGTCACTAAATTTAGACGAAAATTGGATTTTGAAACTGGTTTATTTATTGTCTCAAATTGGGTATTTTGTTTTTTTCAATTCGTTACAAATCTGATCATTTTACTAACGGACCAACTCTTTATAACTAAATCATCTTGAAAGTCATTATATTTTAGAGAATATATAGTTATATAAGTTACACAAAAGTTGCTGTATATATATTTTTTGCCTCTTTTCTGAATTTTGGTAAAGGTTTTGTTTTGTTAAACATCCTATTAATCACCAACTTCATATTCCACATATCTCATAAATTGAAACCACCATATGTTGAAATTATATAAAAAAATGTCCTTGAAAATTATAGTTTACATTCCTCAAAAAATAAATATTTTAACAATTTTCTGGTAAATCACAAGATATATGACATACCTGAAAAACGTATTTTGTATATAGTTTCAAACCATGATGAATCCATTTTATAGGGTATGTAGGATGTCTTGTGAACGAGGGAAATATGAAGATGGGGGTTAATAATGTTGGGTTTTGGTTGCTCTACCCATATAATATATATAATATATGAGTAGATGGGTCATGCGTAGGTGAGTTTGAAATCTCAACCCAATCCATATAAATAGTTTAAATATATGGGTTTGGGTTCAAAGGTAAGCCTAGCCCAATCCACATAACTTGTTTAATAAATCGAAACATGTTTTCAAAAATTGAAGTTTTTTAACATAAAGTGATATTTAAAACCATTGACAAAAAAAAAAAAAAACTTTCCAAAATAGTCATAAAATCATTAACATCCAAATAAAATTAAGAAATAAAAACAGTCAAAAGTACAATTGTTTAAAAATCTCTAAAAACAAATTCAATAATTCATTCATCTCTCATTTCTTCTTCCAACACCAACTTATTCATGATGACCTTTAAATAGAAATAATACACATAATTAAAATTTTGATATTTCGAAAGCTGCATAAATAATTTTTTATGTCTTTTTTTTATTTGTATTAAAAAGAACTCACCAAATGACAACTTAAAGTATATTAGAATTTATAGCCTTCTTATTGTCTTCTTTGATGTTCAAACTCATTAGATTTTGAGTTAATTCTTATTGTCTTCTTTGATGTTCAAACTCATTAGATTTTGAGTTAAGTTGTCAACGGCCACATTCAAATAAACCACATAAGGAATAGTAAAAAAAATAATACAAAATTTTAGTTAATACGAAAAAACCGAAAATTATTAAATATTAATTTTTTCTCCAAACAACCAATCCCCAATACAAACCAAAGCTTCAGCCATATCAGGTTTCATGGAACTACAATATTCATTCAAAATTATTCCACCAATGTTAAAAGTTGATTCATATGCTATTGTTGAAACGAAAACACAAAGTATATCCATAGCTAATTTAAGCTAATTCTAGATATCTATATTGTTGGGCTTTCCAAAAGTCAAGTTCTTTTCTTGGCTCAAGAAGGTATACATCTAATTGACTTGTGGTATTAGATCCAAATCATCATTATCATATTTGTCAAACTCCTATAACAAATATATATATATATATATATATATATATATATATATATATATATATATATATATATATTAGTAATTTAATATATTTAAAAACTAAACAACTATAAAAGCAAATTTAATGATAATTAGAAAATATGAAACTAGCAACCATATGAGGATGACTAATTAAAATAAATAAAAAATTCAATTTCAGTTTAAAATTACAAATTTCCAGTGGAGATTTAACAATTAAGGAAGATATTTCACAGTGGGTATATGGTAGTCGGTGCATTGTTATTTACTAGTGGACGGAGGTGGGTCGATTTAGGGCCGGAGCATAGCAAATGAGCAACTGAGCGAGAGTGGTCGATTTGTGTGTTTTCCAACTTTTATCCCTTTGGTTGGTGGTGTGCGAGATGAATTTCAGCGACAAGTGGCAAGGGTGTCCCGTGAATTTGAGAGCCCTGTACAAAAAATAAAAACGGGCCCCTGAATATAATTTTTTACGAGCAAAATTTGCTAATACCATAGTAAATCTATAAATGTTATAAAAACAATCGAAATAAAGGAATGATGGGTTAGACATTTTGAACTTTCAACATGTTATAAGAGACTTATTTATATTTGAATTAAGTATAAATGTTTAATTAATATTTTTTTTTTTTAAAAAAAAACATGTTTTATATTCTAGATGACCCTTATGAACAGTCAACATTTGTGGTTTACACTTTTGGCCCAAAACTTCCTATACTTTGACAAATGTGTTCCTTACTTTTCCCTCTAGCCCTTCACGTGGCAAAATGTAGTAGGATACTTGGATAAGCCATTGTCTCCACCTCCTTACCCCTTACTACGTCCAAATACAACTTCATCTCACATTCGACTATCACCTCACAATCGATTATTTATCTTCGATCACCTTATTTTTTTTTCCCATCGATGAGAAATGCTAAAAACACCGACAACTCGCCATCTCTACCGATGTTTCACCTCTACCTTATGATAATCATTGTCACATATGTACAAAACAATTGATTCTATTCTATTCGACGTCTCTGCTCCGCCTCCTTCTTGCTTTCGGTCATTGATGACCGAAAAATTAGGTATATAATCATAGTTGTGTCCATCAATGCCTAATTGAGTTCTTAATGAAACATCTCAGTATCTCCTAGTCATCCATCTCTTTTGCTCAATTACTTGCTCATACTAAATTTCTTGCCATTAGCGTCAAGCTTATTGCTAATTTAGGGTTCCCCCTCTACACCACAATCGGGTACTTTTTCAATCTCAAATGGTCAAAATTTAACCCGAATCTCCCATAGGGTCCAAGGAACTTCCAATTTTGCTCAACATTATACAGGTTTGTGTGTAACGTCCGATTCCTGGTACGTATTTAAATAAGAATTTTGCACTTTTATACTAGGACTCGACGATTTAGAGGCCCCAAAATCGTCGAGTAGGGACGGATCTTGGTCGTGGGTGGAAGAGTCTACTCGCGAGTCGGAGGCCCCCGACTCGACGAGTAGGTCTGCCAGAGTGAAACCCTAATTTTCAGGGTTTGCACCCTATTTAAACACCTTATATGGCCTCCACTCCATCCTCCATCACCCTCAGACCTTATTCACGAAACCCTAATCAACTTGTGAGTGTTCTTGAACTATTTTGTGCCATTTTAGTGATTTGAAGCTTGGAGACGGAAGGAAGGGCTTGGAGATTTAAGAGGAGGGCAGTAGATCCAAAGCTTGGGTTGCATTTCCAGCTTGTTTGAGGTATAAAGGTTATAACTTGGCTTTCCACCACTTAGATCTTCTTTAGTGCTTGCATATTGTCATTTTTGGGCAATTTCTAAGTCACTCTCGGGATTTGAGTGCAAACAAAGTAATGACTTCTGATCTGGGAACTTTTGAGCTCATGAAGCTTAAAGTTGCCACCTTTATTAAGCTATTGCCCTATCTCATGCATTAAAACTCATTTATGGCTTAGTTTTAGTGTTTTAGCTTCATAACACACATGCATGCACGTACAGTTTGTAATTTTACGAGTTATATCGACCCTAGGAGCCCAGATCTATGTTTTGGATGCAATAAGCCCAACTGAAATCGACTGTATGGACTTGGACTTTATAGGACTCGACGAGTCGTTCATAGGACTCGGCGAGTCGGGTCATGGATCCCCAACCTTTTCCGTTTTTGAGCAATCTGGTTGAGTCTAGTGTAGGACTCAGCAAGATGGATATGATTATGGACTTGAATATCAAATAACTCGACGAGTTCAAGGATGAACTCGGTGAGTCATGAGCAAAAGGTCCCAACTCTGTATGAAGGGGAACTCGACGAGTTCAAGGAGAACTCGACGAGTTAGGAGTAAAAGTCCCAACCATGTAGGAGGGAAATCGACGAGTTGGTGGACCAACTCGGCAAGTTAAGTCAACCATATGTTGACTGACAAAAAGTTGACTTTGATCAGGGTGTTGACCTTGATTTTGACTTTGACCTGAGTTGACCCTTGAAAGGTTATGAGTATGAAAAGGTAATCAAGGAAGATTGTTATGTTTAGGAGTGATCCCAGCACCGAGGACAGTTCAGACACTACACGACATTGAAGTGAGTCACCTTCTAGTAGGAGTGGGTCGAAGGCACCAATGTCGACCCACTAGTAAGTAACTATAGTTGAGATGATTGTCTTTGTGATAATTGTATGGTATGCCGCTATCTGTTATGCTTTACGTGCTAGCATTATATGTTATAATATGATAGTGGTAAGGGTGAAATAGTCCTCGGTTACCGGTTGAGAGAGACCGAAGGGGATGCCAGCGCCCAGATATGCTAGGCAGTGTATGATTTATATGTTTTATGCTAGATTATTATGTGGTAGTAGTAGGGGTGAAATAGTCATCGGTTACCGGTTGAAAGAGATCGAAGGGGAAGCCAACACCCATATATGCTAGGCAGTTACCAGTTGAAAGAGACCGAAGGGGAGGCTAGCACCCATATATGCTAGGAAATTACTGATTAAAAGAAACCGAAGGGGAGGTCAACACCCAGATATGTTAGGCATTATGTGTGTGTGTGTGTGTGTGTATATATATATATATATATATATATATATATATATATATATATATATATATGGTATGTGGTATGATGGGGGAACTCAC